TATTATATTATAATTATATGTAGATAAAATTTCAACCTATTAAAAACAAGATACATTAAAATATACGGTTTTTGCTAGATTGAAATCAATATAAAATGTAAATAATATATACAAACAAAACTTTTAAATAAAATAGAGAGTAGATTTTAAATGAAGTATATGTTTGAGTCTGAGACTTAACTTCAAAAAATTAAAATAAAAAGTTAATAGTTATCGATAAAATGTAACTAAATAAAGTTAAAAAGTTAAGAGTCTACAATGTAACTAAGTTAAGTTAAAATTATTTAATTCTTCAACTTTTTAACTTTTAGCTTTTTAACTTGGCACTACCGAATCCTGATTATGCAAATTTTGACAAACTGAATTATAAATTAAAGATATGTGTATTATTCTTATAGCATTCCAAACAACCTTTGCTGATTTTGAGCTGGAACTTAGGAATAGTGAAGAAAAAATAGAGGTGCGAAACGTTCGTATACAAACAACTGAAAATGCTGAAATGTAATGTAAAATAACTGATCTTCAAAATAAGATAACAGAAGCAGAAGAAACGATTAATTCGTTAAAATATAAATTAAACGAGCAGGAAAAGAAATATCAAGATCAAGAAAAGGAGGTTGCACAAACAAAACTAATTACTAGTGCAAAGGACGATAAAATACATGAATTAGAGAAATTAATGTCCGAATTGCGAGAGACGTTGAATAGAGCAGAATCGTGTAATAGTTCCATAAAAGAAGAATTAGAAACATTTCAAGCAGAAGCGCAGGAAACGCGTGAAAATTTCAGAAAAGTCCGTCATGATTTGAAATTTCAGACAAGGTATTTGATAAATAAAATGCGTAGAATCCTAAGAGATAAAGAGGTAACCACCGATTTATCGACAGACGGAATAAATGAATAAGAATCGGAGACACTGGTAGTGTCTCGGCGCTAAGTCAAAGCGCAGCGACACTGCTGTGCTTGCATGAACAAGACTTCATAAAATTGTGTCAACAATCATCGGAGAATCCCGGAAATTGTAGTTACAGAAGAGTCCTGATATGGAAGAAGAGATAGAATGTCCCTCGTTGAAAGATGTATTTGGCCGGTATTCATAGTCAGATCTTATATTCAAGACCGTCTTAAATACGGTCTTAAGAAGTCACCAACCAATCAGAAGGCTGCATTAGAGTCTTAAGACATTACTTAAGACGGTCTTGAAATAAGACTCAACTATGAATACCGGCCTATGTATAATAGTTTAGGAGTTTAGAGATAAATTGGCCAGTGCTCAAAAAAATCAACTGGAGGCTGCAATCTCAAAGATATCTGAAAGAGATGACCGAGACTCCATACTATTCTAGGTATTTCGTGTCCGACTTTTGTTCGTGCAAATTTCTCACAAATTTGACAAATTAAATAATATATACATTTTATTATTTTCCAAAAGAAGTCTAAACATTTGTTTTAGGAAGTTGAAAGTATGTTCGTGAAGTTTTAGAAATTTTTTTGAACTATCTTGAATTATTTTAATCATCTTTCTTATTTAAACTTTGTTTAGTTTCTACTCTAATTTCATTTTGTTCCTTCTTCTCAACAGGCTCATTTAAAGCCAGATAACAGTGACATTTTTTTATACTTTGTAAGGATAATCACAGCCTTTCGTATTCATACTTTGGTTCAAAAGCCTTTTTTTGAGGTTAGCCTGTAATGAAGTTCAATTCAAATTAATTAGAAAAAAAATAATGAAGATCAATTAAACGCACTTACGTTTATTATGTTTAAATCATCGTCTGTCGACGAATCCTTTTCCGTCAATTCCTTTCCGGGATTCTCCGACGATTGTTGACAAAATTCTATGGAGTCTTGTTCATGCAAGCACAGCAGTGTCGCTGCGCTTTGACTTAGCGCCGAGACACTACCAGTGTCTCCGATTCTTGTTCATTTATTCCGTCCATGGATAAATCGGGGGTTACCTCTTCATATCTCTGAGGGTTCATTTTATTTATCAAATACCTTGTCTGAAATTTCAAATCGTGACGGACTTTTCTGAAATTTTCATGCTTTTTCTGCGCTTCTGCTTGAAATGCTTCTAATTCTTTTTTGATGGAACTACTACAGGATTCTGCTTTATTCAATGTCTCTCGTAATTCGGACATTGATTTCTCTAAATCATTTTATCCTTTGTACTAATAATTAGTTTTGTTTGTGCAGTATCTCCTTTTTCTGATCTTGATATTTCTTTTCCTGCTCGTTTAATTTATTTTTTAACGAATTAATCGTTTCTGCTGCTTCTGTTAGCTTATTTTGAAGATCAGTTATTTTACATTGCAGTTCAGCTTTTTCAGCTGTTTGTATACGAACGTTTCGCACCTTTATTTTTTCTTCACTATTCCTATGTTCCAGCACAAAATCAGCAAAGGCTGTTTGGAATGCTATAAGAATAATACACATATCTTTAATTTATAATTCAGTTTGTCAAAATATTCAATTTGCATAGAATAAAAAATTAACGCACATGAACCCATAGTAGTACCAGATTTATCAGTATTACAATTAGCGCCAGTGATGATCTGAGGTTGCAGTAATGTAATACGTTCTTCTAGATTCTGACTAATGCGATCTTTCTCTTGCATTTCAGATTCCATTTCTTGGAAATCAGTTTCTTGAGTTGACTGTTTTATTCTCTAAAAATATGAATTTATTATGCAAGTTAAAAGATCTTAAGATATTTAAATATTTGTTCCTTCTTACGGTAATATTCTGGATATTTCGTGTCTGACTTCTATTCGTGCAAATTTCTCACAAATTCGACAAATTAAATAATATATACATTTTATTGTTTTCCAAAAGAAGTCTAAACACTTGATCTAGAAAGTTGAAATTATGTTCGTGAATTTTTAGAAATTTTTTTGAACTATTTTGAATAGATTAAAAAATGGATGGATTCGAAATACTTAGACTTGTACCGATGAGGCATCGCTTTGTGCCTGGTGCTGTAAGGATTAAAAGATTTTATCGTGTGATTGTGTAGAAAATTCAATCAAAAAATTTTCCATAATAATCCAAAATAAAACATTTATAATATACACTTACCTCTAATTCTGTGCGCAATGAAGCCCTTTGTTCTACAATTTCTTTTAGATGTACGTCGCCAGACGTAACTTGGTTCAATTTAGGGTAATTTTTTACATTTCTAGCTCTAGATGCAAACCTATTCATTAAAAAATAAAAAATCAGTTACACTACGTTAATATACATCAAATAATTTCAAAAATACTAAAGCACGAGCGTGGCATGACAGACAACGCACTGGTCTGTCATGCCAGAAATTCTGAATTTGACCCCGGTAGAAATCAAAATATTTACGCTCGTGTCTCCTTTCGGAAAAAAAAGAGTAATTTCCCAAGAGTATCCTTGTTTACAGAAACACCTCACGAAAAATTTACCGTTCGGAACCGGCGTTAAAAATATAGGTCCCATATATACTTGTGACAATTGAATAATCATCGTGCTCTCCACAAGCATATGAGAGAGGTGTAATAGGCTACAGGCCTAACGTAAGCAAAAGAAAAAATACTAACGTCTACTGGGTTCCTTCTATAGCAACTGGTGTTACTGCACATATTATCACTGTCTTTGCATTGCCACCCAACGAATTTTGGAGTATTCTGGTTACATTACTGTTTCGAAAATGTACATTTTCTTGTGATTCTCTCAATTGTTTTATTACCAATGTTAAACTAAGGCCAATGTTGAAAGTGATAAGTTAATAAGATATCCTTCCTTGAGACGTTCTCTAGCAGCATCTGTGGGTCCAGCTCTTTCTAAGCCTGCTAGATCGACCATATTTAACTGGAAGACTAGGGACACACCATCTGAACCTGCACCAGCCTCATGACTTTCAATCGTCTGCAATAATGTTATTGTGTTGCAACTTTCAAATTTATGGAAATATATGGATTATTATGTCTAGGTATAGGTTGCATTCAGTTATCCCCATTACAAGTATTAAAAATCTATAATATACATAGCGTAAACTAGGTTTGTTTTTGCATTGCAATGAATAACAAAAGTTTGCAGCATAGTAATTTATATCTGTTATATACAGATTACTTTATCTAGTAATAATAATAAAATAATTTTCTTTTTTAAAATATCTCACATATTAGTATTAATGAAAATTGATGTACTTACAATTCTAAATATCATATGGCTTCTGCTACTTCGCTCATTTATGTTTGTTGTGCCTATTCTTTTATTTTTATTACCTTTATTCGTTAATGCTAAAATATTCCCTAAATGAATTACAGATACGATCTTACAATTTACGAATACTTGACCATCTTCGTGTACTTTCAAATCTGTTGAGTTTTTGTCTTGGTTTTTGTTTAAGAGACCATAAATTTTTTCATTATAAATCTCTAGGCATGATACTCTGAAATATTAATATTTTTGCAGGATGGAACAAGTGATCCTTTAATTTTGTGGAGTATTGTATTTACCTTAATGAAAACTCCCTTCCTGGAATATTGGTTATCGTGGAAAATATATGCTTGGCAGCAAGAAGTATTATGCCAGGTTTTTCCAAAGTACCCATCATATGGTATAAGTTTTACCAGAACTTGTCTATCCATAAGCGAACACTGTACTATTAAATTCATTTACAGCAGCATCGACAATAGGTTTTACAACATCGTTGTTGTTTGCGTCTGTATCAAAAATATGATCTGTAAATGTAATATCATGTAAACATAATTTGTGAATCTTATATCAAGGTCAAAGGATAAAAGATAAAAAGATAGCCGGTAAAAATTATAACTTTACGTGACAATGATACAAATTAACATTGAATGATACTTCTTTAGTTGAGTAATTATTTAAAATAGCAAACCCCACCTAATCTAAAATCTTAATGAAAATACACTTATCCGATGCGTTTTCACTCAAAATGAAAGAATCTGGCAAAAAAATACGGCGGTCGGCCTCGTGAACAGAGATATTAAGCGTTAAAGTTTGAGATTTTAGAGATTAAGATATCTGTCATTCCGACTCGCTACAGCGCTACGTATACGTAAGTTCTGTTCTTTTTTGAATAATTTTGAAATAGTGCAATAAGTTAGAGTGAGACAGAAACTAATTTCGTATAATATATTGACTTACCAAACTCGAATCTACCGTCAGATCGCTTTCTGAATTCAGGAATGGTAGCTATTACAGTATTGTTTTCTTCAGTGACCTATTATAAGGGCAAATTCTCCTCTTTTTCTCCCTTGATGAGAGGCCTGACTCGGATTACCACTTTTATGTTGTCCGTCATTGTGAACGTATTTTTCACTTTTAAAATATTTCGAAGAAGCAATTAAGTCTCGTTTTTATTGTATAATCAGAATATCGGAAAACTCACTCACGAGAATCACGAACATTCGTCGTGTCGCGCAACGAAAGTCGACGGAAGATAGAACGATGCTTGTGCCAAGTGTGTCCTCTAAAAGGAAAACATACTAATAACTAAACGCTCGTTGTGCCGTTCAAATTCAAATTACAATTCATCACGCATGCGTTGACCGTCAAGGCTGCGTTCCATTCCATCACGCATGATGCGCATGCTACATTATTTATCCGTGTTATTCACCGAATGTTAAACAAGGATAAATGCGTGAAACGAAACACAGCCTTAAACATAATACGAAGGCAATAGCGATAGCGAGAGACAGAAATGTTTGAAATCAATCATAGTTTCGTATATCCAAAAAATGTTATTATATTATATAAAACATGCAGAAATTATATTGGTAATAGGATACAATATTTATTGACAGAAACTATGTAGATTTCATTATATTTCAATTACTATAATGATTAATGCAAATAGGCTCATATACAGGGTGTCCCGAACTTTTTGTCAATCACTTTTGTGTAGATGGAGCGGACTAAATTGAGTCGAAGAGTCCTCTACCATTTTGCAATTTTCGTAGCAGTTAACAAGATATTAATTACTAAAAATTGCCAAATATTGGTCTTGAATAATTTTTTACTCAAATCAACTTTATAGGAAAGCTGCAAGAGACAAAAATCATTTATTTTCTTCTCATAAAGTTCTGAGAATTTTTTCGGAATTTTTTTTCAGAATTTATTAGTACCGTATTTTCTCGTGAGCAATTAAGATCACAGATAAATTCGGGACGTATCCTCGTGTAAATTGCCTTCGATTCCTGGATATTTACATTATTGCAGATAACTGATACAAATTTTCATGTTCAATCTTTTGATCTATCTTTTGCGAATCTTTGACTATGTAATAGTATTCATAGTTTGTTGATATTATATTTAATATCGTCTTAGACCATTATGCTTTACTAATTTAAATCTTAATTGCAACTCGTCTCGTAATCAAAATTTTTAGTCTGTAATTGGTATATTTAAAAATAAAAAGAGTTGCTTATTTTAAAAATCTTGTCGGATGGATATGGAATATTAAAGAAAAAAAGATGTAAAAATTATACGAGTGTTACTTTTATTACAATTTTGACTAAAAATATTATTAAAAGTAAATTATCTATTTACTTGTTCTATCTAATCTCGTTTTTGTATTAAAATAAATTAGGCAATTGTTACTTTTTCAGGGAACGATAACGTATTATTACTCTTGTGGATCAGTATAAATATAGTTACGATATAGTTTATATCTTTTTAACTTGGTAACGAGTTTAAAAAATAACTTTGCATTTTTCTGCTATATATAATATAATTGAAATTACCGACTCAAAGTAACTCAAATTGGACGTCGATAAAAAAGTACGCGGCAATGTCGATGCCCAATAAATACGTTTTCTTCTATACCGACTCAAAGTAATCGCCAGAGAGAAACCTGATGGCAAGGCCGGGATATGTATTCTCACATTTCTCTCTGGTATCGCTAATAAAGCAAAAATTGTATTGCATATTGATCATCCGAAATCTAGTTTGCCAAAAATAATTCTCTATTCGAGTATTTCAAACATTTTGAATATTTCGAGTGGCGCGAAGGGACGTAAACAAGACTGAAGGATCGTATGGCAAACGAGGTGTGCCATTTATACATTTATTGGTTACAACTCAACGATGATTGGCTGCGAGGATCATGAGGATATGATCATGGATCGTACGATTTCGGAGCGCAGCGAGGACGAACGGATAAGCGGCAAATAGTGGCAAATACGCACTATACGAGGTACGTAACACGTTGCGTATGTACGATTGTTCGGCAATGTGCGCGAAGCTGCCTGGAAGCTGCCTGGAACTCCTGGAAGCTGCCTGAAAGGTACTGGGGCGGGCCGCGGGCCGCGGGCGTATTGCAATATACCGTGAGATATACGCCTCGTCATGCACTGACGGTGGAAATAGTGGCGTGATGCGAAGGCATTCCGATCGATCGCGGTCGCAGTGGCAGTCAATAGCAGTCAGTGGCAGTGGTCGTGCTCGCACTTGGCAAGCTCACTCAGCTCACTGCATAGTTGCACAGCTTACACAGCGAGCAGTCGGTCATACGCGGCTTGAGCAGTGACTCGGTGAGTCGTATCAAGTCGTATGCCGTACGTCGGGCGACGTCAGACGGTCGGACTTCAGAGTCAGAGTCATATGTATGGACTATCTCGATAACGTGACACATACCGCCGGCCTATTAAGCGTCAGGCACCGCGTGAGTCCGACAATCAGTGGACCCTCCTCCTCGACACTCCTCGACACTTCTCGACTAATCGCTTGACGTACTTTGACCACCGTGAGACAATCCATTCTCTTTGTCGGCTATTCCGCTGCCGCTCTCGTTCGGTTCGATAATTGTCCACGTTCGGACCAGTTCTGGTCTGTTGAGATTTTGGGGCAAGGTGAGCTAAAACGCGGGAATCCAACTCAACGACGCTCAACGACGCCTGTAAAGGTAAATACTCTCAAGCTGTTTCCTTTTTCTATTTCTATATTTTCTACCTCTTCTCATTCTTGCCCCGAAATCTTAATACAAACTTTGTTTATATCAATCGAAAAGAGCGTAAAGAAACTATAAGTACAGCTGTTGCAAAACGAAGATTACTAAATATCCGAGTTTCTTTTCCTTTGGAATTTTTTTTTTTTTTTTCAAAAGGTATTCGATCAACGATTGAATATACATGCGTAGCTGTTCTTAATCGCTGTATACTTAATTATTTGCATTTCACTGCCAGTTAACTGTTTTGTCATGCTTTGAAATGAATAATCACTTTGCGTGTTTACACCTTACTGGCACTTTATTTTCAACGACTATCATCGAAAAGTGTTTATAATATGAAATATTTCGAAGACGGCAATTGATTCGTCATAATATAATGAGAGCTACTATACCTATTAAACATGATTATTTTGGTTGCAACTCACGTTTATGAATGTATAAATGGAAATTTGCCGAGTTCACCAAACAGGAAGACGTGCATTAAATTGCGTTTTTATGTAAAAATTAAAATAAACTTGTTGAAAATAACTCTTGCAAAGGCGCTTTAATTCTTCATTTATATAATAGTTGATCTATACAGGATGTTTTCAAATTCACGCCTGCGAAGCACAAGACGTGATACTTTATGCTAAAACAAATAACTTTTTCCTTTAACGAAATTGCGTCCGATAAATAATTTTTGCGCTTATTTGTTGACTTTTACTTGCTCTCTTGCAAAAACTACTTATCAGACGTAATATTGCTAAAGGAAAAAGTTATTTTTTGTGCTAAAACGAACAACTTTTTCCTGTAGTAAAATTACATTCGATAAATAATTTTTGCGTTTACTTGTACAACTTCACAACCTGCTCTCCTGCAAAAACTACTTATCAGACGCAATTTTGCAAAAGGAAAAAATTGTTTCTTTCAGCATTAAATATGATACTTCGCGGGCGCGAATTTGAAAACATCCTGTATAATTATATAATATATGTTTTTTCAGATATAAATACAAAAAAGGAGGAAATCTAAAGAAAGAGTAAGTTTTTTTTCAGGCTTTTAAATTATTCAAGAAAAAGACTCCTGCTAGAAGGTCATTCTAAATGTTTTTTCGGAGCACAACACGATTTCACAATATATGGTTACCTAGAGATTAAAAGTAATCAAGAAATTCATTCATGAATTTCATTGATATGAATCTGTTGGTAACCTTTAATCTTTAGATAATCATATATTATGAAAACAGGCCTATACTAATATATCAAAATAATAAAAAAAAAAGAGAAATTCTTTTGGCCGCGCAGAAACCGGTTTTTTTTTCATTCTCTTTAATGTTCGTGATTAATTTCATTCATACAGGACAGGTATATATGTCGGGTAGCTGCTAGATTGAAAAATCGTTGTCGTGATCGCTGCGGGCGACTTGGACCGACTCTTGGACCGCGTCGTGTAAGTCGTGTTGCTCTCGCGAAAGAGCATGGCCAAGATAAAAATATATCGCACAAACAGTATCTACAATGTGACGAACCAAGCATGCGCGTGATATATGATAAATTTCGTTTTCTCTCTATCTCCCTTTTAAACCGCATTCAAGAATTTGGCTCAATCACAATTTTCTGCGCTATCTACATATGTAAACTTCCGACTAAAGATGAACTCGACGAAAAGTCGTATCTGAATAGCCTATCTATATTCTATATCGTTTCCGTCAACTTTCAAAATATTTACAAAGTTTATTTGTGTACCTTGCATTTCTTACAATTTAATAACACACATTACTAAACTGTGAATGTTATTTTAGAGTTTCTACTTGTTTCAAAATTAATGATCAATTTCTTGCATTGATTTTCCCCATGCATTTTTCAAGACTTTACAGTAAACTACTAAATAGTTGCATCTATATATGTATTGCAAACTTGCTGTTAAGAATCAGCGTTCATTCCAGTTGACCGCAATAATTGAATGTATTATGAAATAACTTATTAAATTTATTAGTTGTAGTATGCTTAAACATCTCGTTGTCATATAATAATTCTAAATAAATTCATCACTTTAACATAGAAATGATAGGAATCTTTTATAAAGAAAATCTATCGTCTTTTTTCTCTTTCTCTTCGTAAAGCTCAACTTATTTTCAATTTTATTGACAAACTAATTGATTGTCTAATCAAGTATCATCTGAATCATCACTAATTTATTTCTCTCGGTATTCTTTTTCGTAATATAGTTAATGATCTATGAAAGTAAATTACTAATTAGTAGGTAGTAGTGTTGATAGTTTCTCAAGTAACCAACTTTGAAACATAATTATGTAATTTATTTAAATGATCCATTTAGGATAGGTTTCCTTCAATTAATGTATGTGTGTGTGTGTGTGCGCGTGTATGTGTGATTGCTTTTTTCTAAAAAGTACTAAAATATAAATTTTCAACGTATCTATTACTTTTTATCAAATTTGCACGCATCGAATGAGTAACCGTGACCAATAGCAGCGCAGTACAGATGACTAACTCGCTTACCGCGTAATATTTAATAATGA